GAGAGAGAACTCAGAGGCCGAAGCACACCATGTCTGGGTGCAAGGACACTCCATTCCCAGCCAGGGGTCCCCAAGCCCTGGTACCTTCGTCGCCGCCTGTCCCTGGAGGCACTCCGCTGATCCCGGTTGCGCCGATCACGGCTCCGGCTCCGGCGCTTGCGGTCCCGGCTTCGCGAGCGGCTGTGGCTACGCTTGCGGTGCCGGTTCTCCTTGTCCCGTTCTATGCCAGGGGAGGGGAAGGAGAATGAGCTGAGGGAGGACATGGCCCAGCCCACCCACTCACTGGTGGCTATGCCCCGAGCCCCAGGGAACCCACCCCCCAAGGGGAAGGGATTCAGTGGAGGAGGGGATATAGCAGGCTTCCTGGGTCCACAAGCCAGTCCAGGAGCCCTGGGGGTCCCAGGGGACAGGAGCTGGTTACCTGAGGGGACAGAGCCTGGAAATGCCCACGGGGTGTAAGATACCTGAGGATGCTCAGGAGGAGCTGGGGAGCCAGAGAAGACAGAGGAGGCTGGCTCCTGGTCCCCCTCGAGGGCTGAGGGGCCTGACCCCAGGGTCGTCCCTGAGAGGGGCAGGGCTAGAGGCTGGGGAATCAAGAGACCCAATGATGTTTTCCTGAATGAAGGAAACTGTCGACCCCTCAGGAAAGACCTCCTCAACCAGCTGGCACCCACAGCCCCACCATCAGGCCCCAGGGGCAGGTGCAAGGCAGGATCTGGTATCCCCAAGAAGTCAGGACACCTGACGGTCCCTTCCCAACCAGAGAAAGAATGCAAGATGCCCTCTTGTAGGGAGATGCTCCCTTCTGAATGTGGCCTAGAAAGGGAGGTGCTCGGCCCTGCCTCTCTACCCCTTGCAGGCCAGATTCCCAAACCACCCTATCCTGCCCACACTCCCTCAAAGCCAACACAAGAGGGACAGGGTCCAGCCCCCTAGTAGGCTCACTCAACCCCTTCAGTAGCCTTGGGGGTGGCGACTAAAAGAACGGAGCACAAGCCTAGCCCGTATAAACCATAGAAAACTCCGCTCAAAAGACCCTGGGAAGGATGTGCAGGCCAAGCTATGAGCACCACGTCACAGCAGGTTTCCTTATTCCTTAATTCAAAGACACCCCTCACCCTCCTCCACTAGCCCTGTTCTATGGACGGATACAGGTAAAGGCAACAAGGGTGGGGTGTTAAAGTGGACTTGAGCCTCATCCGTGCTACTTTATGCTGAAACTTTAAACGTCAACTTTCTACAAATAAATCAACTCTAGAACCCATAAAACTAAGAAAAAACACCTCAGGAGAAAAAAAAAACAGATGAGCAAACACAAGAATACTTCTAAAACCCACCTATACTGCCAATTCTCACAACTGTTTGGAAAAAACACTACTATTCGTTCAAACAAAAAATATGGAAACAGAGGCACAGAGAGGTCACATAACTTGCTCATGGCCAAAAAGCAAAAAGATGGTGAAGACTGAAGGTGAATTCCCTAATGTTAGCAAGTACAGCTAATCATCACCTGAGCAGACTCAACTCAGGACAGGCAGAGCTGCTGTAGTCCACCCAGAACCACTAGTAACAATGTTATCTCTCTGAACACGAATAAATAAAACCTAAACCAGACACTTGAAACAAAGAAGAGCAGCAAAGAAACACACCGGCATGGCAGGAGGCTGTGGGGCTGCGTGCCTCTGGCGGCAAGCTTATAAAATGAGCAGGCTGAGGCTCTGAAACAAACAAAACAAGCGGGCAGAAGAACCAGAGGAGAGGAAGCAGTGATGCCTGCTGGGAGCCTGCAACCACACAAGGAAACTAATTCTCCGGGGACACACCTGCCCGACGCGGGGGCTGAAGGGCTCTCAGAAGGCTGAAGGCCTCACTCAGGCTGGCCCAGAGACCCACAGGCAGGGCAGCACGTGCACGGAGCTTCCTGCCTCCCCACACACAGAGATCCCGGACAAAGAAAACAGAAAAGGTGCTTCAGTTGTTCAGAAGTCTGTGGCTGCATTGTGCGCACAGCTCCACCAACCCAGGGGCCGTGCAGGGCTGAGGGCCTGGCCTCCCAGCGCCAGGAAGAACCGAGGCACACATCTACGATTGCCTAAGGAGCTCAGGCAGGTCCACCTGGCAGCCCCGCCACCAACCACACTCAGGTGGACTTCTGCTCTGCACGGGTATGAAACCGCGCAGAAGCCAACAAACCTTCCTGTGAACGAGGGTCCCACCTAACCCAGGTGTGTGGGGACCTGGCAGAAAGGCACTAGAAGAGCACTCTCCCCGCCGTGGTCCACTCCACGTCCTAGGATGACATCACCCTGAGGGTAACTGCACAGTGGCCAGTAGATCGCTTCCTCCGCCCTTAGCGTAGACCCCGTCACAAGCTTCTACGCGCTACCCCCACGTAAACTCCGCCCTGCCTTGTCACAGCTAAGGCCTGAGAAACCTGTTTCCCCCTCTACGTCAGGAAAAATATCTTTCGAGCCTCGCACGGCTCTCACAAGGATGCACTTGGCAAGCGCTCGAGGTCTGACCTCCACCGTCGTTACGACCGCCCTCCCTCGCCCACAGACTCAGGGACAAGGCACCGACCCGCTGTACAGCCGTGAGAGCGGCAGGGCCGCCGGGACGGGAGCCCGGGACGCCCGGCCGCACGTGGCGCAGAGACCGACGCCACCCGGGGCAGGCCCTCCCGCCCGCCGGCGTCCCTCCCACGAGCAGTCGAGGCAGACGGAGCGCGGCAGCGCCCACCGCCTGTGCCCGTCGGAAAACCCCCCACGCCCCGACAGCTGTGCGAGATGACGTGCCCCGCCACCTCCAACCCGGGTCGGGACACGCACGCGTGTCCTCTCCTGCAAAAGGTACCGCGACACGCTCACTGCCCCGGGCCGGCGTCCCCCCGACCCACGCCCACGTGGGGAGTTCGCAACGGCCATTTTGGGACAAAAGGGGCGTGGAGACCCGGGCCGCGGGCCCGGCCGGAAGCGGAAGTGCCGGGACAGCGGGAAAGAAAGGAAGCACTGCGGGACCTAATACACATAAAACCTACTTTCAGATTTAAAAAAAATTTTTTTTAAATATATGGGAGTGCTTAGTCCGCAAGGGAACACCCAGCCAGCCCGCGGGCCCGCGCCGCCTCCACCGCGGACCACGTGGGGGCGCAAAGCGGAGCGCGCCGCGCATGCGTCCGGGACCCGCGCCCGCGGCCCCCTCCCCTCCCGCGCGCGGCTGCATGCCGGGTGGTCACGTGAGCGAGGCGCGCGGCGAAGTGGGGGGGGCGCCGCGCGGCCCTGAAAGGAGGGGGAAGAGCGGGGGAAAATGGCGGGGGACACGGAGAGAGGCCAGGAACCGACCCGCCCGCCGCCCTGCGCCCCCGGCGCCCTCACCTTGCTTATTCTCGTTGAGCTGCCGCTCGAACTCGTCGAAGTCCGACATGCTGAGACGGCCGCGTAAGGGCCCTGTGCAGCTCTGGCCTCGCCTTGCCGCCCGCCCGCTCCGGCCCCTTCGGCTACTTCCGCCGCTCGCTTCGGCTACTTCCGGCCGCCGCCGGCGCTCCGCCGCCTCCTACTTAATCAAGCCCGGGCCGCCCGCCCCGCCCCTGCTCCGCCCCTCTCCCCGCCCGCCCACCCGCGACGCGCCCCTCCCCCCAGAGCCGGGCTCCAAATAGCGTCGGCTATTTCCGGGCAGTAGAAGGAATCGGGAGCAGCGGCTTCGGCTGCTTCCGAAAACACCCGAAGCGAAGACTTCACCGGCTTCCCAAGCTATCGTAACTTTTCGTAAACTAGCTCTTCAACGTTCGGGTGTTTCCGTAGGTCCGCGCGTTCCTCTGCGCCTACCCCCCCCCCGAGGGGTTCGGCTTCTTCCGACAATTCAAACCGTCCCAGTCTTTGGCTGCTTCCGCAGATACTGCCCGCTCCTCTCCGCCGGCTCTATCCAAGCAATCAGCTATTTCCGACAATCCTAACACTCTCGGACTCCTGCGCTTTCAGAAGGTTTGCAGCGCGGGCTCTCGGACCCAGCCGAAGGATTAAACCCGATGCCAAGCTTCGGCTCTTTCCGGACAGTGCACTTACTCCTCCCCTGCCGGTAAACTTCGGCTCCTTCCGCCACCGCTTCGGGAAGGCCTCACTCACGGCAGATAGCTTCGGTTTTTTCCGTCGGCGCTTCGGCTCCTTCCGGCTTCGGGAACGGAAAAAGGGAGGGAGGACAGAGATGAGGTTGGTCAGGAAAAGGGATATAGAGAAAGGGCGAGGTCCCGGCTCTCTGCACTTGGCTCTCCGGGTGGGAAGAGTGGAGGAAAAGAAGGGCGGATTTCGCGGAAGGCCTAAAAAGCTTGCGCGAGACAAAAGCAGCCGGCGGGGTGAAGGGTGCGCGCGGCCGCTGCGGAGGTTGCCAGCGCGGCTTTGTGCGCCTGCGCAGAGGGGCAGAGGAGGGGCGCGAGATGGGCTTCTGCGCTTGCGTAGAGGTTGGTCTGAGGCGCGGTTTCTCACTGTTTGGGAGGCGAGCGGGTTCCAGATGCCCCAGCACGCGTGCGCGAGACTTTCCCTTACTCCGGGGAAGGTACTGAATTTTAGTCCGTTAAGCACAGCGGCCTTCTGGTTGCTGTAGCAACTGTGTAAGCGCGCTCGCGCCCCTCCGGCAGCGCAGGCGTAGTAGGCCACGTAGAGGGCACTTCCGGAAGACCGGTAATTGGCAGTACTGCCTCCTGGCGGGCGGGCGTGGTAGCTTCCATCCAGACCTGTCGTTCCCTGCCCCCACCGCTGCGGCCGGTCCCGCATCCCCCGCCGCCCCCCGCTGTCGCGCCTCTGTTGGAGCTCGCCGGGGGGGCGGGGGCCTCTCCGGGGCACGGCTGCTGCTCCTTCTCCCGCCCCTGCCGTGCCGCTGGGGGTGCTAATTACATCCTGTCTCCCCAAGCTCCGGTTCCCTGCCTAACCGCCCGCCCCATGCAACTCCCCGGAGCTCCCGTCACCATCTCCGCGGCAACGGACACCCCCTCTAAGAAGAGGCCGGGCCGAGTTTATTCCAAATTTTATTGTCTCTCTTTAATTTAAATCCTCTGAATAATTCTTCGTCCGGAATGCGGGTGGAGAGCTCCTGGCAGAGCGGGCCAGCCTCTCCTCGGGGCTGGGGTGGGGACGGGCTATGTACAGTGCCTGGCCCCGCGGAGAGTCTCGCAGTCACCCCAGGAAGCAGGGGCCCGCCGGGGCAGAGGAGGGGGCCAGTGCTGGGGAAAGGCAGAGCCCTGCGCGGCGGCTCCGGTGAGCCCAGCTAAGTAGACGCCCCTCCCCGGGGAATGCAGACGAAGAAAGAGAAGGCCAGGGACGGGAGAGGAGAGGAGGGGGCCAGGGACCTGGGTGGGAAATACGCCGCCAGCCCCTAGGCTCTCGGGAGGAGCACACCACTCATGCACACGCCCGCCCGGTGCCAGGAGGGGCACGGAGGGACAAGTAGGGTGGGATCACCGCTTGAAGCGGTAGGTGATGGGCAACAGCAGCTTGCTCTTCTTGAGAGCCTGCACCTTCTTGAGGGTCTCGTCGTCCAGGGCCAGGAAGCAGCGGCGCGAGTACTCGAGCAGACGCTCCTTGGAAGGGTCGAACTCGCCTACCTCCGCCAGCTTCTCTGGGGCCACGATGAGCAGCTCCGCGATGGGCGTGGTCAGCGCCACCGTGTTGCGGTCTACGCGGTGGTGCTCAAAGGCCCGGGACATGCTCTTCAGCTTCTGGAAGGTGCCCAGTATCTTCTTGTAGCGGCAGAGGACACCGTCTGCATCCTTCACTGCAGGGCAGAGAGAGTGACGTGAGGAACAGGGATGGGGCAAGGACAGACAGGGAGCCCAACACAGGGAGAGCCAGGGAACACCGCAGAAATCAAGAGGACAGGAGATGCTGGGAGACATAGAGACAGTGGGACAAGTGGAAACTAGGAGAAGGCAGGCCCAGGGAGGAGGATCCGCAGCCCAGCTGAGGCTCAGATCCAAAGTAAGACCCCACGATAGGGTGGGACATACAACCAGGCCAGTGGAACAGGAAGGGCCTCCCCACGGTCACAGTAAGCCCCCAGCCCAGAACCCCTGAGCTCCCACACCCTGCATGCGCCTTGCTCACCCCGCTGCCTCTCCCGGGCCTTGGGCTTCCCAAAGCGCCTCCGGCCAGCACCTCCCTTCTGCTTCTGCCTCTTCCTCTCCACCGTACTGCCTTCTTCAGACACTCCACTGAGCGAGGAGGCCGCTGACTCCGGGTCTGAGGCCTCGCCCCCAGCCCCACCCCTGCCATCCCCCTCAACCCGCCTGGACCCAGACTTCACCCGGCAGTGATCCTCTAGAGAGAGGTAGAGAGAGAGAGAGAGAGACCCATACACATGAACTTCCAGAACAAGAGGCAGAAGGAGGCAAGAGACTATCTGCAAGGTGGGGACGGTGTCACATCACCCATGGTGGTGGGGGCTTCAACTGGGCCCGACTAGAGCCCCCAAGACAAACAGAAAATGCAGTATAGATGCTGCAGTTCCCACCAAGATGACTGGACACAGTACACTTGGTTGGATTTGGGGGTAAAGATCACAGGTAGGGCATGGTTTCATGCTCCTCTGACTCCTTAACTTTAGGGCAAGAGGTGGGGGGAAGGAGTGTAGAGGACCAAGACAGGACCAGACACCTCCGAGACTCTCTGACCACAGGCTCCCACAGTGGAGGAGGGGTTTTCTGGGGACTCAGTGGGACCTCACTGAAAAAGTCCAGAGGGCCCTTGGGCCCCACCATCCTAGGTAGGTTCTCATCAGCACCCTGGGCCACAGGTGGTTCCAGAGCAAAGGGGTCCCCAGTAACACAGATGCTGAGGAAACAGAGCCCTTGCCCAAGCTGTCAGGTGAATCATGGGGATATGGAGTCCTGGGAAGGAGCCAGGCAAGGGCTGAACATCATACAGAAGGGAGAAGTTAGACTCCCCAAAACAGGATGTAAAGATTTGGGAAAGGAAAGCCCTGACATGGCCACAGGGTCCTGCCCATCAGCAAAAGCAGGAGTCAGGAAGGAAGCAAGCTGATCTTTGGGGTCTGGGAGATGGCCTGGGGAGCAGGGAAAGGACAAAAGATGCCAAAGGAGAAGAGTAGGTGAGGAAGGGTCACAAATCCCAGAAGAGGGCCAAAGCAGACATGAGGGACCAGCTCCTCAGGCACCTGACCTGCATCCATGCGGGCAGAGGATATAAACTTGTCTAGCTGACACCGCAAGAAGTCCCTCTCCTCCTCCAGGTCCTCAATGCGCTTCTGTAACCAGGAGTTCCTCTCCAGGGCCATGTGCAGCTGGGCCCTGACACCATTCATCAGGGCTACTGTTGGGGATGGGGCCTCCGGAGACTCTAGGGACGGGGGGAGCCTTGGTCACACCCCAGGCCTCCAGGGCCCTATACCCCAGACGGCTGGGGTCCCTCCACGCTGCCCCCAGCTCACCCTCGAAGTTTCCCCGAGAGGGGCTCAGACTGTAAAAGATCTGTGGGTCTAGGTGGGGCGTCTCATCGAAGGGGATGGAGATCTCGAAGGCCTCATCGTCTTTCTTCACTGGAGAGGAGAGGCCAGGGGTCACCCCAGGGAAGGCACCTGGGACCAGCCCCCAACCACAGCAGCCCCGGTGAGGGAGGGGACAGGGTGGTAGGAGACAGGGAGGGGAGCACCAAGGGTGGGGCAGGGTCCCAGCTTCCTCACGCGTCCTTCTCCGGCTGTTTGGGTCATTCATGGCGTGGCCTCCTGTGGACCCAGGCAGCTGAGCGCCTCAGGGGCACTGGACAGAAAGGAGAGCGCAGATGGAGGCACATCCCAGTGGAAGTGGGGAAGGGGTGGCATAAGGGGGAACGCCTGGGGTGTCACAGTCCTGGGTTTCTAGGGAACTAGGGGGCTGGGCACCCAGACCTCGAGCTCCTGAGGGGAGGAGTGGGTTCCCCGCGGGGCCGCCCGAGCGGAGACTTTCTGGCCTGGATGGTGCGGCCCCTCATCACGGGTCACCTCGGAGCCAAAAGAAGCGAGAGGCGCGGCAGGGAGGGGACCGTGCCCCAACTTCCAGCCATGGGGCGGGGATCGGATCCATCCCACGCACTGCGCCTCCCCACGACCCTCCCCCGCACTCGTGTGGGCGAGCAGGGCCCCTCCCCCGTGGTGGAGGGGGCGGGGCGCGTGCGCAGTGCGGGGGAAGGTCACGCGTGGGGATGCGCCCCCGCCCCCGCCCTTTGTCCCCCGGGTGGGAGGGGGAGCGAGGTTGGCCGGGGGCCTCAGCGGGAGATACACCAGGCCCCGGGTGCAGAGGCGGCCACCACCCCCCGCCCACAGGTGCCCGGGGCCGGAGGGGCCAGAGCCCCGCGCTCACCCACCCGCGCGCGGAATCCGGCCAGGGGACCGACAGCGGCGGCGCCCATGCCCGGCGCCGGGGAGCGTCTGCAAAGTGTCGCGGGGAGTGGAGGGAAGTGCCCACCCGCCGCGGACGGGCGGGACGGCAGAGACTGCCAGTCTCGGGCGGGGCGGCGGGAGCAGGCAGGGACGCTGGCGCTTCCCGGTCTGCGGGGCGTCGCGCTTCTCCGGGAGCCTCTGGCCCCAGGTGAGGCCTGCCGTTGGCGGCAGAGGCGCGGGCTGCACTTGCGCGACGGCCCCTTGCCGCACGATCCCGCCCTCCGCGAAGCCCGGCCAGGGTGCGTCGAGAAATTCCCAATTCCTGGAGAGCAGCGGCTCCGGGATCCCCGGGGTGGGTGGCGACGCACCGGGAAAGTTAAGACCCAACACCTTGAGAACGGCCTTACGGACCCGCGCAACCCGCCCCTTCATCTCCCACAGATGGCTCCTAGGACCGGGGAGGGGGCGGAGTAGAGTGACCGACCCTGAACGCAGGGGCCTGTGCAGCACCCGCATCGCCCAGGTGGTAGCGGGTCTGAGCTGGCATTGGAGCACTTGGACCTGACCCCGCCCCGGTTTACCCACCTTGTACCGTGGGGAGGTTAGGATCCTGCTAGGTGCGCTGGAAAGATGTACTAAGAGAGTGCAGTTTACTCACCTGTGCAGTCGGGAGGCTAGGATCCTGCTATGTGTGCTGGGAGGATGTACTGAGAAGGTGCAGGCAAAGCGCTCAGCCCAGCGCCTGGCCATGGTCCAGGATCAGGATCCGGGTGCAGGAGGTGTCATTTGAGGGCAGGCAGTGGGAGGCTCTTTACCTCTCTGGGGAGTGGGGATGGCTAATTTGTTCTTCCACCGAAAAAGAGGTCGGGAGAAGAAATGAGGCCCAGCACAGTGCCTGGCACGAAACAGACGCGCAAGGAAAATTCGTTAAGAAGGCAGATGTTTATTGAGCTTGCGGCTCTGCTCCCTGCCTTTCTGCCTGGTCACCAGTTGCTCCTGGGATTTTTGCCAGCCCTATGACAGTAGGGCTTGAACCTTGCAGAAAGAGAATTGAAATGTTTGCACCGCTTAGAAAGCTGTGGCCACCCTTCTCTCCTACCTGCTTCACAGTATAGATAAATTGCAGCCTGGGTCAGGACGTCCAGGGGGAGACACCTGCCCTAGATCGGTGTTTTGCAAACCACAGGTTCATGGGCAGGGAATTCAGTATAATAGGACAGAATTGGCAGGAGAGAAAAAAAAAAAAGTGAGCTGCATATGGCAGATATTAAGTATTGTTAAAGTTCTGTCTCACATGTATTTTTTGTATCTTATACTGGGTTGCCAGATAAAATGTTTCTTACAATAGGTCCTAGCTTTAAAAAAAAAAAAAAAAAAGGCTTAAAACACTGCCTGGGTGATACACGTTGTGAGGAGCCACACTAGGACTGACCCCAGTGCAAAAGGCTGACCATCCCATCTGCCACCAGGCAAGCCAAGCACTGTGCGGAGGCACTGGTAGGACCCATGCAAAATGCTCAGCCCAACATGTGGCAATGGTCTAGGCTCAAGATCGGGGCCCTGTTAGTGTTATTTGAGGTCAGAAAGTGGGAGACTCTTTCCCTCTCTGGGGAAAATAAATGGCTGACTTGTTCTGCCCAAAAAGAGGTGGGCCAGGCACTTGCTGAGTCTGTTAGGCAGCAGGCAGGTCAAGCTGCTGTCCCCAAAAACAAATCTCAAGTGCTCAAAATGGGAAAGGTGTTTATTGGGTATCCAATCTGAGGCCCTGGCTGGGGGTTGGGAGGTGGTTCCGGTCCCCTTCCCCCAGCATCAACATGGTGGCCTCAGAAAGCTGCTGCAAATTCTTGATGGCTCCCAACCACCTCTTTCAAGCTGGAGGACTTCCACATGGAGCACTCTCCCCCCACACCTCGGGTCAGGGCTCAGCCTGAGGCTGGAGGGCTCCACTTTGAATGCAAGGTGTAGTTTCCATCTTATCTCCACCACACAGAGGCTACTCATGGGCTCCTCCTTCAGGCAGGGCTTGGCCTTTGCAGGAGGTGTGTCTGTGTTCCTGTCCAGGGCTGCAACCTGCCCTCAGCACTGGCCAGGTGTCTGAGGGTGACAGGAGTCCAGGTTCCCCCAGAACACCATGGCACCTGGGGTACCCTGCAGCCTGGCTCATGGATGCTTCCACCGAGTGTGCTTTTGCAGCGTGTTCTGCTCCATAAATCGGCGTGGGCAATGTGGGCACTGAAATGGGCGCTCCCCTGAGTGCACCCGGCTGTGCTGGGCAAGCTCACCTGCCTCCCGGAAGCGGCGAGGGCAAAGTGGGCAGCCGTGGGGTCGCCCACCACCAGCCCGGTGAATGGAGTGGTGCCGAGCCAGGTGACTGGCCCGCTTGAATGCCTTCCCACAGGTGTCACACTCAAAGGGCTTCACCTCCGAGTGGGTGATGCTGTGTCGCTGCAAGTAGGACATGTACTCGAAGACCCGGGAGCACACGGGGCAGCTGTAACACTTTTTCTGAGCTGAAGCCCCATCTGCCCCGGGCTCCCTCTGAGACTCCTGGTCCACCAGCACCGTGTAGGGGACACCCTGGGTGTCAATGAGCAGGTAGTGGCTGGGCTTCGGAGAGGAGGAAGTCTGGGGCGGTCCTGTGGATGAGGAAGGTTCAGGTTCTGGAGACCGGCCTGTCCGAGAAGGGGGGGCCTCCATGGCTTCTGTGGAAGCTGCCAGGGGCTGCGGGCTGGGGGCCAACAGCACCAGCATCCGGAGGGGTGGGGAGGCCTGGTGGACGGGAGAGAGGAATTACATCAGGGTAGGAGCACCCCCAGCGTCATCTACTGTCACCGGGACTCTGACCTTCTGCAGTTTCCAGGACCCTCTCCCACCTCTGCTGACCGCCCACCACCCACCGCAAGCCAAGCCCACCAGGACCTCGCTGTCTTGCTGTGCGCCCCCTACACTGGCCACCCGCAGGGCTCTCCCTGCCCTTCCCCAGGGTCTGGGTGTCGCCCCATCCCATGACTCCACCCGAAACCTCGTCTACCCCTTTCCTGTTCGTCCAAGCCTGCGCGAGAGGCTGCCACGTCAGACCCCCGGTCCTGCCCCGCCGTCCACCAGCCCCCCAAACGCCCCGGCCCCCTCAGCCCAGCTACCTCTGGAGTCCCTCTAATCCATGCCCATCCAGCACCCCCCCTCCAAGTTCTCCCCAGGGTGCCGCGCCCCGTCTGAGCCCACGCCCTCCGGAGCCCCCACAACGGCCTCGCCCCACCCGGCGTACAGGTACCGGCCCCGCCCCTCCAGTGGCCCGCTCCCTCCCGCCTCCCGGCCCCCGTACCCGGTGCAGCAGCCTCTCGGGTCCGGGCGACTCAGGAACGGCCCCAGGCTACCCCCGTGGTCGCAGGCGGTGACGGGACGGGCGCCTCTGGGTGTCCCCCGGGAGCTGGTAGAACCGGTAACGGGAGAGCGGGCCGGGGCGCAGAGAAGAGGGTCCAGGGAAGGACGGTGGGGGCGGGGCGCTTGAGCCTTCGGGAAACGTATCCGGCCAGAAACACCCGCCGAGAGGAAGGTTCCCGCGCGCAGACGGTCCGGCCCCCCCGCCTAGCCCCAGCCCGCTGCCCACCCCCCACCACACACACGCATGTCTGAGCCCTAAAGTGGAGTGCGGAATGTTTATTGAGTAAGGGGAGAAGGGGTGAGTGGAAAGTGGGAGATACAGAAACGAGCCAGACCGTGCCGTGCTCTTTGTCAAGTCTTCCGTGCGCACACCCGGTCGCCACTGAGAAGACCGAGGCCCGGAGAGGTTGTGTCACCGGCAAAGGCTCGCACAGCACAGCCGAGCTAGGGAGGGGATCACGCAGCTAGGCGGGTAGGTAAGGAAGGAATGGTGTCTGTCCCCGGGGCGGACGGAGACACGCAGACCCCGGGTAAGGCAGTGGCCGCGGGGAGGCGGGGGCGCGTGGGGGGTCCGCCGTGTGGCCCGCGGGGCCCCGACGGTCCGGGATTCAGTGCAGGCGCACGTGCTGCGCCAGCTCGGCGGCGTCCTGGAAGCGGCGCGGGCACAGAGGGCAGGTGTGCGGCGGGCCTGCCCGGGCGCGGTGCGTGGCGCGGTGCCGCGACAGGTGGCTGGAGCGCTTGAAGGCTTTGCCGCAGGCGCCGCACGTGAAGGGCTTGAGGTCCGAGTGCGACACGCGGTGGCTCTGCAGCCGCAGGGGGCTGGCGAAGACACGTGCACACTCTGGGCAGCTGTAGCCCTTGCGCGGGCCCGGCTCTCCCGGCGCCGCCTCGCGCTGCGGCGGGCCTCGGGGCTCCTCCTCCAGCTGCACCGTGTACGTGTAGGGGACCCCGTTGGCATCGATGAGCAGGTGGCGGCCCAGCCGCGGGGGGCGCGGCCCTGCCGCCGAGGACGGCGTGGAGGGAGGGCCTTCCGTCTTGGGGAAAGGGGGAGCCTTGGGGGGCGGTGGGTCCATGGCCTCTGGGGAGGAGGACCGAGGGTGGGGTGGTGGCCGAGGCGGCAGCAGCAGCATCTGGGGCGTCAGCTGGGAGCAGTAGTGGAGGGGAAACAAATTAAAATCGCCTCTTAGCGAGAAAACTGTCCCCATTCCCGCTGCTTGTTATGCCCTCTGGACCACTGACCTACCTCTCCTGCCAAAAAGAAACCGACTCTAGGCCAGACGGCTCTGGTTCCATGAAGCTGCTTCCAGGACACCTCCAGCTGAGCCGGGCGCACCCCTGCCTTTCCTCCTGCGGCTCCCCCGAGGCCAGGCCAGAGGTCTCTGCGCGGCCATTCCCCCCGCCCGCCCCCAGCTCCCTCACAGCCTGTTCACCTCCAAGTCTGGTTCCTCTCTTGATGGCCTCAGGCCGTCATCTGCTCCTAGTGGGTCGGGGGCCTCCCCGTTTTCCCAGGCACAGCCCGGGTGGAATCCTGTCCGCGGGGGCACACAGCCACCTCCCACCCGGGAAGGCCAGCCTAGCTCCGGGCACCACGCGGTCCCGCTGACTCTCCTTTCTGGGTTCCCAGCGCGCCGGGTTGGGCCCCGGGTGGCTCCATACTGGCCCGGTCTTAGCCCCCCCAGGTCTCGCCCCGGTCCCCGCCCGACGAACCCATTGTCTGTTTTTCATGCACCCCCAGACCCTGCACCTCGCTGCCCGAGGTCCCCTCGAGTGCGCCCCTCTCTCCGCCGACACCGTTACTTCTCCTGTCCTCGCCCTCGGGGGCCTCGTGCCACCCCTCGCTGCCCTCAGCGTGGCCCCCGGAGCCCCCGCCCCTGCCCTCGGGGCGCATCTGACACCTCTGTGTCCCCATTCCTCCAGCCCACTGCTCCGATCCGCCTCCTCTAATCCCAGCGCCCGGGTCCCCCAGCCAGCCGATGCTCCCCCGCCCCAGGGCTTCCTCCACCCCCAGCCCGGCCCCACCCCCACCCCCGTGGCGCCCGCCCCTCCCCCAGTCCGGCCCGGCTTTGGGCCGTGAGGGAGCCAGGCTCCTCCCTCCGTCCCGGCCCGCGTACCCGATGCGGCGGCCTCTCGGGACCGGAGGAGCGGGCCGAGGTCCCGGGCGGCCCGGGCTTCCCCTCGCGAGTACCGGCGGCAGCCGAGACTTCCGGGAGCTCCGGGCCGGCGGCGCCGGGGACGCGGGCGCGGGGGGCGCGGGCGCGGGGCGCGAGGGGCGGCGGTGTCGCTGGAAAAGGGCGCCGTCAGGAAACGCGCGTGCCACCACGAAGGTTCCGCTATCCCCGAGCCCGCTGCTCCCACGATCCCGGTCCACCGAGCTCCGGCGGTGCGGGCAGAGGAAGCCCTGCCCTCTTCCCCGACAGGAGCTGATCGGCGCCGAGACACCGATTAATAAACTGGCTAGGCGGTCTGCGTGGCCTGGTGATCAGCGAGGAAAGGGCGCGCCCAGGTCTGTCCAGGGTCAGCTGCACCCCCTGCCCGGACATGCGGGGGGCGGGAACGGGAATGGTCCTATCGGTGGGGCACATAGGGAGACCCAGGCCTTCAGAGGGCCAGGCATCAGCAGTGACAGGCATGGAAGCTGTGGCCTCCCCTCGGACAGATGGGGGAACCGAGGCCCTCGGAGGGCCAGATGTTACTGGATGTGGAGGTGGGAAAGGTAGCTCGTCCTGGCAGGCTGATAGGGAAATTGAGGCCCGAGAGGGATCGGCGGCTGGTCCTGATGGTGCCCAGTACAAAGCGCCTCCCGCGGCGCAGGGGGAAACCGAGGCAGCGCCTGGAGTTTGCTTTGGGGCCGCGCCGGGTGGCCGTAGCACCTGGAGGCTCGGCTGCAGGTGCGACCCCAGGTGGCGGCAGGTGCGCGGGCAGCCGTCCCCGGGCCGGGAACCGTTTGAAGAGCAGGGGTAGCGTGGTGGGGAGCGCGCTGCGTAGAACAGGCGGCAGAGGGGGCGGCGGGAGCGCCGAGCAAGAGAAGGGGCCTCATTGTCGCGCCCAGCCCCAGGACCCGGGGAAAGGGGTGCGGGCGGAGCTTCACACTAATGAGTTATCAAAGAGAACTGTCTGGGTGACTAGCCAAGTGTGGCGACTGCGGCTGAGGACCTGCATTTTAAATGTTTCTCGGGATGCCTGGGTGGCTCAGCGGTTGAGTGATCCTGGAGTCCCGAATCGGATCCCACATTGGGCTCCCTTCATGGAGCCTTCTTCTCCCTCTGCCTGTGTCTCTGCCTCTCTCTGTCTCTCATGAATAAATAAAATCTTTGAAAAAAAGTTTCTCTTCACTTAAAGCTAAATAGCCACACGTAGCTAGTGGCTGCCTACGGTTTGGAACCGCTCCTAAACCGCCCTCAGCCGTTTGCAAACTGGAGGCCAGCAGGCCAGAAAGGATTCGCAGTTGTATTTGGTTTGGACCATACACGCTATTTTTCCTAGTGTTTTACTGGGCAATATTTAAGAAGCCAGAAAATGACAGTGGTCAATCCCAGGTTATCAAGAGGGGCTGTGGCAGAGTCAGGATTCCAACAAAAGGCTCTCGCCTCTCACCCCTGACCAGAGTGGGCTGGCCATTCCCCCTTTCAAGAATGAGGAAACAGAGGTTCAGGTCACACAGCAAGAAAGACCAGGGCCTCTGCCATCTGTACCAAAAAGAAGAGATTCTATGGAGTCTCCGTGGCCTCTTGGCGGTCCAGCAAGTCCCTTCCAGCCTGCACATACTGGGCCAGGCACTGGGAATCCTTCGCACTCCAAGACAAAGCTGGCCCCGGGGCGTGAGTACCACCCAGCCCAGCAGGTGCACAAATGAAGTGAGGCCTTGCTGCAGCGCTTGCAGGATCAAACCTGATCCTGGAGCTCTGAGTGGGCGATGCTGTAGCTCGTGGGTGCCCGCCCATCTTGCAAGCCCAGGGTCACTAGGGACCAGTAAAGCACCGGGGGTCCTGAGGCCCCCGTGCCAACTGGGACCACTGGGGACCAGTGAAGCCCTGGGTAGGTCCTGGGCTCCTCCTACGGACTGAGACCAGTGAAACCCCCGGCGGGGTGGGGGGGGGGAGCAGGGGACGGACCTGAGCTCCCGCCGGCGGGCCTCCTCCCTGCGCATGTGGACCCCAGCCGCCTGCAGGGGTCCGCGGCCGCCAGTGGGGCACAGGGGGAGATGGGGCCGCCGCAGGGCGGGGGCCTGGGCGGGAAGGGCCAGGGCAGGCCTACCTCGGGATTCCGAGCCCGCCGGAGGCAGACGGGATAGTTCCCCGCGCAGCGCCCCGCCCCGCTACTGTGGCCAACGCGGCTCCGGAATCCACCCGGGTGCGACACGAACACCCCCAAACAACGGTTCCGACGTCACACGGGGACAGCCAGCGACCGAAATCAGAGGGGCTTGCCATGTCTCTATTGGTTCCCAGCAAAAACAGTGGCCGGAATGATTTTGCCCTGCAAGAGCGGAGGAAACCCAGGCCTTGACACGTCAAGCATCAGACGGCCAGAAAATAGGGCGGGGGATGCCCCTGAGCCGTTGGGAAAGGCAAGGCCAGAGAGAGGCAGTCAATGGCCCTGGATTACATGGCTGGTCAGGGCGGTTACTGTCCAGCTGGAGTAGCTGAGGGAAATGATACCCAGATCTAGAGTATGCCAGAAGTCCTGGTCTGCACCCCCATAGCCAGCCAGGACCTGCTGGGCCAAGGGAGCAGGGGCAGGCGCCCCCACGTGGGTTGACCAGCTGCTGGAGGCTTGAAGGACTTCCCACAGGGGTCGCACACTTCTGGCCAGAATCCTAAGTGAGAGACACCTGCTGGCCCAGGTTAAGCACGCTTGTATAGCTAGCACCTGGAGAAGCCCAGGTAGGTGTTGGCTCATCTCCCTTTGCATCATCCTGAGCTGCTTACTACAGCCATAGTAGGAAGTGTGGAGGAGCACTCCATGGCAGTCAGTAAGTGACATCCTGAGCATGGAGACACAGAGGAAGGAAGAACAAGGCAAGAAGAAAGATGTCTTAGCAGGTTTGGCGAATCATTACTATCTGGTGCTGACAGGGAGGAGAGAACTCATTCCTGGTTTACAGAGGGTTGCCTGAAGCCAAAGAGTGAATGCCCCAGTCATAAATCCCACCCAGTGCACAGTCAACATCCAGGGTCCCTGCCTTTTGGGTGGGGCTTCAGGGAAAAGATCACTAATCATCTTAGGAGGTGAGGACATCTTTTTCATTACCCTCTCCCACTTTCCCTGCCACGCACAGGCCTCCAGCATGCCTCGAAGTTGGAAAGCATTCATTCTGGGAGAGAGCAGCTCAGAAAAGGGTGCTGCTTTGTCCATGAGACATGCCAGAGCCAAGCTCTGCAAATGACATCTTTCAAGCTCCACATCGGAGAGCTGTAGGAAGATTCCCAGCACGCTGTTTGCCATGGGCATCAGTTTTAGGTCCGTATCAGTGATAGACTTAGTTGGTGCTAATGCACCAGGATGTGCTGAGCCAGCTCCCTGGTAATCTTAAACCACCCCAGGGGCAGAAGGAACACATTCAGGAAGCCCAGCGCTGGACTGGCTGGTGCTGGCAGACTGCTAAATTGCTTGACGGCCTCCAGATGCAGTGCCAGACATCCAAGTGGGACAGGCCGTGAGCCTTGAGACAAAGTATTCTTTTTTTCTGTATGTATTTTTAAGATTCCACCCACTTGAGAAAAAGAAAGAGCACACAAGCAGGAGAAGTAGCAGAGGCAGAAGGAGGAGCAGATTCCCTGCTGAGCAAGGCTCAATCCCAGGACCCCAGGGATCATCACCTAAGCCAAAGGCAGACACTGAACCACTGAGCCACCCAGGCACTCCTGACAGCATTTTGAAGACCTGCAGGCACTTAGGATAGCTGTAAACCAAGTGGGAGTCAGTGCCTTTGACTTACAGGCTGTCATCAGGCTTCTCCACTCCTTCTCCACATATCACATTGTATATGTAGTTGGATGTTATGCCCTCTAGGCACTGAGCAGGTACTGGCCTGGAACCAGGGCAGGAAATGAGCATGAAGGAGGAGGAAGAGTTGGAGGAGGAAACTCAAGGGAAGAGTATTCACTGAGGATAGAAGGAGCCTCTGTTGATGAAAATAAAGCCATAGGCATCCTTGAATCGAGAGGAGTAGCTACAGGAGGAAGACCTGCATTAAGTGAAACCAGGGAGAAGCTAAGGGGCTGTGGTGACCAGAGGACCTCCCTGCGTCCCCCAATCTTTGCTAATCCATGACACACACATCCAATACTCCTTAACACGCACGGTCTGGACAAGGGGCTGGGGGGTAGGGTCTTCCATGCCCCACTATGTGCCAGATGCTGGACTTGCTAACTTTACCACTTCTGCACGCTCCCAGGACTCCTACAGGCCTCTAGCATCTGTCATCCCGTTCCTACCGGTGTGCACCGCGGTCCCCTTACACTCCTTTTTTTTTTTAATTTTTATTTATTTATGATAGTCACACAGAGAGAGAGAGAGAGGCAAAGACACAGGCAGAGGGAGAAGCAGGCTCCATGCACCGGGAGCCCGACGTGGGATTCGATCCCGGGTCTCCAGGATCGCGCCCTGGGCCAAAGGCAGGCGCCAAACCGCTGCGCCACCCAGGGATCCCCCCTTACACTCCTTCTTACACTCCCGCACCACCCAAGTTTTCCCTTACGCTGTCGCCCTCCGTCTCCTCCTTCTAACGCCCAGCGGGCGGGGTCGCCCTCAGCCCTCCCACCCAGGGCTGCCAGCGCTCCCCAGTCGCGAGATCCCGTCCTTTCGTGCTGACCCTGCAACACCAAATGTCTCCATTCCCTCCTCCCCCGGGGGTGTCTCCACACACACACACACCCCCCAGCATCTCCATCCCCCTCCCCATCCAGTGTCTCCCCTCTGACGGCGGGGCTTCGACCTCCTGCGTCCGTCCTCACCGCCCACCTCGGCCGCGCTGCTGTCTGCCCCTCCCCTGCTCCCGAAGGCTCCTTCAAGCCGACCTCAGTCTCTCCAGCCGCCCCGCCACGGTCCGCTCTTGCCAGAGCCCCGGACGCCCACCGGATCATCGCCCCAGACCCTCTGGAGAACCCTCCCTCTCGGCGCGGGGTCCTTATGCTTCCGGACCCCGACTCTTGGCACGACCCTTTCTGTCCGTGGGGGCCCGAGGCTCAGCCGCCCCGTGAGCCGCCCCCAGGAACTCAGGAAGCGCTGGGACTGGGTCTCCTGGGGGCCTTAAAGGTGCCGTT